CCGCGGGGCTGTTCCGTGCCGCGGGGGAGGCCGCCCCCGGGCTCAGCTGCGTACGACCCGCGAACACCTGAAATCAAGTCATACACTAGGTTTCTTTTATTTAAATACCCCTACAGCATATAAAATCACACTTAGAGGAAGAAAAATACATACATGTAGAGTATTTACATACTTTACATCAAGATGACAAAAATATACGTGGCAGCTAGATGGTGTTATCGGATGGTTGCAGCACGCTGGTAATCCTGGAAGGCAAACCCAAGTCTGTTTGGCAATTCGCTATTAGCCTTCCCAAACCACCGTCCAACACGGGCAGAAGACAAGCTACGCAAGGTTTTCCCAAGGCCGCGCTGAAGAATCAGACCGTTAACCCCTGGAATATAAACTGCTTTTAACTGAAAAATATTTTACTTATTTAAGGACCCTGGATGCTGTCATTTAAGAAAAAAGTAAGTGCTGGATTGACAAGTTCAGCATTTCCAGCGTGTTGAAGTAGTACATTCACTTCTGGGACAACAGCCAAACGCTAATTTTCTTTCTCTGCCGCAAAACCATGTGCTGCCTCACATAAAAGCTTGTGCAACCTTTGAGAAACTCCCAAATATTGCACCACACACCCCCTTCTGCAATGCCACAAAACACAGCCATCGAGGCCAAATCCTGCAGCCTTTGTATATGAAAGAACAATCAGCTTCATGCCTGAAGCACAAAGGATTCAGCCTGCTTGTCCACTGAGCTGCATGTAACCACTTTGGTATGGCTGAAATCCATCATTCCTTTCATTATAGGGAGATTTAGCTTCTGTCACTCTCACCCTCAACACTAATTTTTTTTTTTAATCTTATCCTGATGACAACTTAAGATACCTTTGCACTCATTTCTTGAAGTCTTTCTCATCTCTTTTAAACTAAGTGATATTAAAAAATACTAAGCCATCTGAGCTGCATGAAAAATACATATTCTTTAAAAAAAATCACACACAGCTCATTTAGTAGTACTAGTACTTTTTTTTAAAGAAACTTGTAGACCAGTTTCAAACTTCTAGTGAAGGCTGGCTGATCTTTAAATGAAGTTCCTGATCTCGTGAAATGAAACTTTGACCAATGGTTTGAAACACCAATAAAAAAAAGTTGAAGTATTTTCTTAGTACTCAATGTGATGGTGCAAGTTACTAACACCACTTTTTCAAGTCTTCCTTGGAGTTTTTTACTCCGTCTTGCTTCGCGAGGCTCTGGAACAGCAGCTCATTGAACTTAAGCAAAGCACTTCAACTTCAAACTTTTCTTACCCATCATTTTGCTGTTTGCTCAACAAATTAAGCATTCACTTTTCAGAGTGTTACAAAACCCTTTCGGGTGCGTTGCTGTATCACTTCAGAAACCAAGCAAGCCTGAAAATCATGCTCAGTTTCAAATTATTTACTGACCCCATCAACCTCAAAAGTTTTCACTGGAAGCAACATAAGCATCTTTAAAGAATTCTTTTCTTTTCAGCCATAACTGAATCAAGTGAATGAAAAACACGGACTTCTTGCGCTCCAGCTCCTCAGTCCACTTTCACAGCTTTCTCCAAATTTAGACACCATTGACCGTGGGACTAGCTACAGTACAATTGCATTTGTGTTCTTCCTAAACTCCACTTACGCTCATGTTAATTATCTCAATGATAGTATTTTCAACGCACTGGCACAACCGAACATCGGGGTCCATGCTTGCAGTGTCCCTTGAACAACTTTTGTTAGACGAATCATTACAAAGTCCGGATGCTTCATGTGGTTTCTCCTTTAGTTGCTGGAGACCTAGAAAATTAAGTAAAAGCCGCAAAAGTACATCTAAATAAATAAATTTTTAAAATTGTTACATTACAGCTGTAACACAAACATGTATGCTATGAAATTGCAAATTTGAGCCGTCGCTACTTCATGCACCAGGCTTAACTCCACAGATTATTTCAGAGACACTACAACATTTCTTTTTCATTTACTTACGTCTGACTCCTTTGGGGTTTTTTATATTCCCTCTTACTTCTCTTAACATAAATATCCTAGCACAGATAGCATCAGGGAACCTTGTATCACATGAACAGAGCATTTGTCTTTAGACGAAAAAAAGAGACAAAAACATGCTCAAGATCAACCGATACACTTAAACGGTTAATCTGTGTTCACACAATCACTATATATTTATCCAACCATGCTATGTCATGTGTAAGACGTCAGATAGCTCATCTGACTTTGCGTTTCCAACAGATTAGGAAGATTTATATGGCTGTTATGCCTCAGCTGAGGAGTTGAAACGTCCTTATGTTCTCAAAAGCCAATGGCCTTTGCTCACGTCTTTCATCCTTGGACTACAACGGCAAATTCTATGCACAACACTTGCATGCAGGGATACATCTTGAAACGATGCAAGCAGGGAAATAAAACAGAAGGAAGGCAGTACAAAGCTTAATAAAAGGGGTACTTTCAGCCCCTTTAGCCTCTAAACTCTCTCCTCCAATCCAGTAAATCCACCTATCCCTATTCCTTCTATATTTACAAGACAACAGCAATAAATTTCATACTGCATTCCAACTACACTCAAACTTTTGAAACGTTAACATAATTTTCTCCCTGGGACCGTGTCGTTACTTTTGAAATACAAGGTACTTACGTGTAATAATTGGGTCAAAGTCTCTTGTCTGCGTAGCAACATCAGAGGCACAAACTTGTCCTATTTGTATCAGCAGAGACATAATATCCTCATACAAAGGAGGAAAGGCTTGACAGAATGACACCAAGCAAGGCAGGGTCGGCATAAAAAAAGCATAGCGCTTCGACTGGGTTAAAACTATCAAGGAAAAGGAAATGGTTAAGGAAAAAGGAATTATTGTAAAAATCCAGTCAAGAATTGTTGTTACTTTTACACTGGTAATTAACACAGTGGCATTTAGACAAAACTGCATTCAACCTAGACAAATAATTCTAATTTACACAACAATGTATTTAGGGGTTGCTGGAGTGCTTACCTGTGAGTAGGGTTCCCATCACATTGATGGCTAAACGAGCCACGCTGAGAGATTTAGGTAGTGCGTA